CAATGGGGAAGATTGTGGAGAAATTGAGAAAGTATGGGTATATGGAGGAAGATGAGAAGGTTCAGGATAAGGAGATTGAGCAAGAGAGAAGGATCGAGAAAGGATCGGTGGAGGATATATTCTATGTTGAAGAAGGATATTTACCGAATACTAGAGGCGGGTTCACTGAGGAATCAGTAATTGGTAGAGAAAATGTCTTTGGGAGAAATGGAGAAGTTGGGTTTCCTTGGGGGAAGATTAGTGCTAAGAAGAAGGAAGAGTTAGAAGCTGAGTGGACTGCGAAGAAGGAGAGTAGATATTCGCTCGCGGAAATGACTCTTCCTGAATCGGAGCTAAGGAGGTTGAGGAATTTGACATTTCGAACAGCGAGCAAGATGAAGATTCGGGGTGCAGGTGTGACGCAGGTGGCAGTGGATTCAATTAAGGACAAGTGGAAAAGCTCAGAGATTGTGAGATTGAAGATTGAAGGAGCAAGCGCGCTTAACATGAGAAAGATGCATGAGATATTGGAGGTTTGCTTCTTTTAATCCCCCAATAAGTGCATTTTGTTGCATTAGGCTTGTCTTTCGTCTGCGAAGATCATTAACACAAACATTTAAAGTCTCATATTCAATTCAAGATTTAAGCATAAGCACAAACTTTTGTCAGCTTTTGTCAAATGTTATTTCCTTAATGATGTTCAAATGTAGTACTTTTTTTTTTCCTCTTGGTGGCAGAGAAAAACTGGTGGTTTGGTGATTTGGAGGTCTGGCACTTCCATTTCTTTGTATAGAGGTGTCACGTACGAGCTTCCATCAGGAAAGTGGAACAAGCAAAAAAGATGGGAGACATCACCTTCTTCCTTACCTGCAACTACAACTATGGTTGATAATGGAGATGAACAAGTGCATCTTCCGCAGCTAGACCAGGAGACAACTAGCGTAGATAAGAAAGACCAGATATCTCAATCAGAAGTAGAATATGACGATGAAATTGATGAACTGTTAGATGGTCTTGGTCCTAGGTTCATGGACTGGCAGGGAGATAATCCATTACCTGTAGATGCTGATTTGCTTCCAGGCGCCATTCCTAGTTATGAACCGCCTTTTAGGGTACTTCCTTATGGAGTGAGATCATCTCTGGGTCCAAAGGAGGCAACAGCTTTGAGAAGACTTGCGAGATTTCTTCCTCCACACTTTGCGTTAGGTAAC